ATGTTGTAAACAACAATGCATTATATATACAACTCTTGATATATTCGTCCGTCGTTTATGAGCCTCGCGACCAGTTTCTTTCTTTTCTTTTTTTTCTTTTTTGCATACTTTCTCTATTAAATCTTGTTATAGGCTTATTTTTTAGTTCCGCTTTTGCGTTTGCCTAAGAAATATTTAAAGGTTATATGTGATATCTCACCACCACAACAATTATGCATATACGAGAAGAGGTACTGCGCTGTATGCTTAGTTACATATATAAGTATGCAAAAAGCTCAACCTTCTCTAATATATATAGACTTTAAGGTGGCATTAGGTGAATAAGTGTGTAGCCGCCAGTTACAGCTATCACGATATGTGGAAAAAATAGAAAAAAAAAAAAAAAAAAAAAAAGACGAAAACAAATGAAAAAAGAAAAATCACTGTCACTACCTTGGTTTAAATATCATCTTGTACTTCCCTTTCCGCCACCCTGGGGTAATGGGAAGGAGGGGGAAAACGCAAAACGCAAAACGCAAAACGCAAGGTAATACCATTTACAAAAACCTAGACCTTATTATTGTCGCCGCCTTCCGTGCTCCTTTAAACCGCTATTATTATCATTCTTCTTGCGGCTGTTGTTGTTTCCATGCATTCTCTCTGTCCCTTTCAATATAAAGTCATTTTATGGAAAAATTATCGATTTTTTTTTTTTTTTTCTTTCTTTCTTTTCTTACGTTTTTAGTTAAATTTTTTTTATATATTTTTTTAAATTTTCACTCCCTTTCTTTCCTTTTGCACTCAAGCAGCTTTTATTACTTTATTAACTGCTCATAAAAAAGAGAAAGGGGGCGAAAGAAAAATGTTGGCGTATTGCAGCAGACTATTTAGCCGTACATAAGGTCTTTTATGAGTTTTATAATTAAATATTTCGCTCACTTTCTCAACAACATCAACAACAACCACCACACTAACAATAATCAAAAGAGGAATACATTAATTAATTTGGTCGAGAGTAATATCTTTACTTTAAGATAATGTAATCACCACAGTTGCTTTCTTGTCTTGTCGTCTTTCTTTAAAAAAAAAAAAAAAAAACTGATAAAACATGTATTCGTTCGGTCGTGACCGAATATTTTATACCCATCAAACCGTGAGACTAAGGCAAACTATAAATTATCATATTGTACAATAATTGAGCGGGGGCCATGGGCTGACTTCTGTCTATTTTTCTATTTTTCTATTTTTCTATTTTTCTTTTTATATGTTATATATTTTATACTTAATGAATAAAAAAAAAAAAAAGAAAGCAAAAAACCGAAAAAACAAACGGCAATTTTTGTTGCTATACATATGGGCGTGTTATAGGCGTGTCCTTTGACAGTTTTGATCATTTTTAAAGAAAGAACAGAGAAGAGAAGAAAGAATGTTCATCACACAACTACTACAGAATTCCACAGACTAAACAAAGGGACAGACGTAAAGGTGATAGATATGCTTAGGTGCTTCCCAATTTGAAACTGACCAAGAATTTTTATATGTTTTTGAAGCTTTTGAAGCTTGTTTCTGCGCGTTATAAGCGCTTGGAGCCTAAGTAGGTGTGGACGATACCTTCCATCTTTATAACTGTTACTGCACCATCGCCCATAGAATATACATTCGAATGTCTATAGATTTGTCTGTTGTAGTCTGTGAATAACGAGCAAAATAACAAATTTTTTATTCCTTTTGAATTGTAAAAATGTTCTCAGATTATGCAGTGTATTGTAGGCATGTCCTCTTCAAGTGATTTCGCCTATTTTTAATATCAACTTGCGTCCAAGAACTTGCTGCGTTTCTCCTGCATTTGAAGTAAAAATTTCAATTTTGGTGACCAGGGAATTGCTTACACAACAGACATAATACAAACGGACAGACAGACAAACGTTTAAATCGATTTAGCGCATTTGATGATAATCAAGAATATGCGTACTTTGTGTGATCTTCTTAGCTTTCTTCTCGACGTTACAAACGGTTTGAAAAAATGCCTGTACACCACACGCCCCCATTTTTCGGTGATGCGTTTATAAAAAAATTATACTATAACGACGAGAGCCGGCTACTGTTAACTGCTTCAGATACTATCCATGTTGAAAAGAAAGAAAGAGCAAAAAATAAAATGAAGAGTCTTGCCGGTACTTGATATGTCGTCCAACTGTATATATCGCAATAGGTTGCTTAAGAATACACAAATGTTTTTTAAAAATAACTTTTTAGTTCTTCAATTTCTTAACTAATATTAAATAAGGGGGGATGATATCTGTGTGAAAATCGATGAGAAAACCGACGGAGAAATATAATTGCAGCTTTTCATTCAGGACGTCCGTCGTCACCTTTATCAATCAATTTTATTCTATTTCGAATCAATTCATTTCGGTTTATTTCTTCGCTGATATGCTAAACCTCAATTTGCCCTATACCATGTTACCCATAGTATCGATCAGAGTATTTGGCATCCTTTTTTTATTATTTGGAATTCCCGTTAATAGTCATTGTCGTGTGATTAGTATTCTCTAATTATAGTTGAGAAATTTCTACCCGCTATCCGATTGCAATATTGAACCGAAAAACTGAATGGGCAGACAATTGCTTATTAATAAAATTACGAATTAATTAAAAAGTAAAGAATAAGTTTGAAGATATTTTTTACCGCATATAAGGAAGGCAGGCGCAAACAACTTGATTAAGAATCATCAAGTAAAAATTGAATTTGAATTATTTGCGATCTGTTACAACTGAAAATAATTGTATCTAAAATCCTGCAGAATTTTGTTTATTATTATGTTTTGCATTTGCACACACACAACATATCCTATTGATATTGTGTTAGGCTTCTCATGTTGTTCACATTTGATCGATCAAATGTAAGCTAAGCTAAGAAAAAAAGCCTACCTTTTGCTTATGCGAATCTAAAATAGTATTGAGAATAATTCTTCAAAGTTTTATTTATAAGCATTTCGTTGATTTGTTTTTCTTGATTGTTGGAAATATTATATCGCAACAGCATCTCTTGGATCTTTTGGTTTTCATAGAACACAACAACAGCATTTTTAGTAATCTTTCTACTAAAGATTCTCTATTCCTTCTATTCATTCGTAGTCTTTCTAGTCACTTAACTCGGCTTTCTTTAAGTTATAATTGGTATTTAAGAACTCATAAATTTTTCCCCATAAACATGATAATGATGATGATGATGATGATGATTACTAAGAAAATGTGATTGCAATAAAAACTGAAATGAAAAACACTAAATTTCATCAAGAAAGATTTATAAGAAATTCATATATAAAGAGAGTAACGCTGTCAAGATGATAGTAGTGCAATACACACACAAGCCAGTCAGTGCGCACATACTCGGTGGTATTTGTTATCCATCAAATAATAATATTTGCATAAAGAATAAATGGCAACAACAACAACAATGATGATGACGACGACGACGACGACGACGACGACGACGACAACAATATGAAAAAAATATGACAACACGAGTAAGTAAGTAAGTAAGTAAAGAAAAGAAAATTTATACATGAAGAGAAGAAGGAAAATACAAAATATATTACACGAAATATAATCGCACACAATGTACAAAAAAACTAAACTATATAAAATTATTTATTACAGAGAAGTTATCAACTTGAGCAAACTCCACACATAATAATGAGACGATAAGCTGTGATGTGATGTGATGTGATGTGATGAGCAACAAGAAAATAAAAAGTAAAATGAAAGGAAAAACATATATAATATCGCGAATTTCGCCTAATAACTTTGCTTGAATCCTATTTGATTTCTTCGAATACCGGGGGCGGCGTTTACTCACTAGAGTAGAATAGTTTTGTGAAAATGAAAGTGAAAAAGAAATAAACAAAATGTCTTATAACTTGCGGGATGGACACAAACTGTATTCAGATATTATAAAAAAATTTACCAAAGATTTAGAATGAGACAATATTGTCTTTATATTGCATTTCTGCAATTCGTGGCAAGACTTTCAAATAATAAATTCAGATTCAACATATCTCCCATGCGTGCGTTCCTCACACACGTCACATTCAATTCTTTATTTTCTTTACCTAGTTACTCCCCTCTTAAGCACAAATTAATTTATCCACGAATACGGTACAATCGTGTACCATTCTGGTCTATGGATGTACTAATATACAAATATAAATGTTTATCGTAACATTAACTGGAATATCGATTGCCCGAGAAAGGGAATAAATTACAGGCAAGCAATAAAGAAAGGACAAATATATTTTCTATTGTTAATAAATTCTGTACATCCCACCTCCGTCCCCATCAATATTATTCTATTGAATTTTCACATTACGCACACTACGCGTCGCCGCACACACTGCTCTGCTTCAGTGTCCTGCCTAACAAGATGATCTGTTAGGCTTGTAACGAATTGAAAAATGGATGTCAAAATCTAAACTGGCACCGCCCACCGCCCTTTCCAAACTTGGGACATTTTCTAATTTACAATCTCATTATTTATCTGAGCAGATCATATTATACGGTATATATATGCGTTCTAAAGTAATGTCTGCTTCTGGAAAACTGGAAATGTTTTATATAAAATAATGAAATACAACTCTGTCCAAGTAACAGCTGTAAAGGTCGACACAAAAGGAGTTAGATTAAAGCAAAAAAACATCGAAATCTTATTCAAATGTTAATCGTAGCGTTTTTTTTTTTTCCTTAAGATACATGCGGAAAAAGATTCCGGAGGTCACAGCCATAAACGAATTAGTACCCTCCCCCGCCACACCATCGAACCCTCACAACTACAAAGGAATTATAAATTTTGTAATCCATAATTCCAGTTACAGAAGTTTGAGGAAGATAAGTTTGGGTGATACACTCGCCGGAGGGGGGGGGGGGGGCTCTTATTTTAATTTATCTTATTTCCAAGACAATTATTTTTTTTTTTTTTTTTCTATTTTCAAATTTCCCTTCATTCCATATTTTGTACTTACCTTCTCAATATTATATTTTTCCAAAGCCTGTGTCGCACAATCTACTGCATCCTGCTGCATTTCTTCACTCATATCAGCATTTTTAATGACAGCTTTACGATCAGACATTTTTGTTGATGCTCTTGCTTTCTTCGGACTCGATTAATATATATTGTTTTCGATTTGTTCTTATTTTTGTTCGCTTTTCTAGCCTTTGCTGCTGCTATTATTCCTTTTAATAGTTAAGTCCTTAAGTTAGAATATATTACTCTTTTCAGCACGCTGCACTATAAAATATTTAACTGCAAATACATATAAAGAGAGCAAGAAAAGAAAAAGAATTAATTATAAAAATATTACAAAACAATACTATTATTATTATTATTATTATTCTTATATTATTATTATTATTAACGCACAAACGAAACAAACGACTCGAGAAGAATTTTTTGCTTGAGATTTCAAAAATAAAAAATATTTATATATATATATACAAAATTTATAAGAGAGAAAAAAAAATTCACAAAATTTTAAACGCGTTTCAAAAAATTAAATAAAAAATATTGACAAAAAAAAAGTTTTCTTTAAAAATATTTCATTTGAAAATTGAAATAAAATTCTACGCAACCTATCAAAAAACAAAAGACAAATGTTTTTTTTTTTTTTTTTTTTGTTTCGAATCGCAAAGTGTTTTTTTGCGTTCCTCCTTTCATAGGTCGTAAATATAATTAGTAAAGGGGGAAACTTACTTTTCCCAATTGCTACGAATCTGAACCAGATTAAATCAAGTTCTCGTGAAGAATTCTATTAATATCATCTATTAAAGATAATGTCATAAGTTATTATTTATTAACCCAAAAGCTTGAATGTTATTGCCAGTGTTCACGGTTCAAATATATGCAATTCGTCAATGCATCATTCCGCCTATCTATTGATCATTTGAACCGTCCATGTTGCAGATGTGTTGCATCGACCTAAGTCTTGCATAACATTTGTTTTTTAATACCTTCTAGCAGATATTTGATTAGGGGATACGTACCTTCTACGCAAATGCTTGCAATTTTTAAATAAATTTTTTGTGTTTTCATTCAATTTGCCAACGGACGGAAAAATGCTATGATTTGCACAAATATTTCCAAAACCAAAACCAAACACCCACATCATTCCCAACATATTAAGAAAGAAAAAAAAAAAAAAAAAATTAGTTTTAATTTTAATCCGACACCAGAGCGTTCCCCGATATGCGCTGAATGCCATTCTCTATCTAAAGACATTAATTTTACCCATGATATCAAGGCAAGAGACACGCAAACAGCTAAGAAATCACTTCTGCGTTCTCGGCTTACTTACTTTTGTTAATTATTGTTTCGTTAGAAAGTAGGACAAATCTTACTATGATTATGAATTTAGAAGGAGGGGAAGGAGCAGGAAAGTGTTTACCCAAAATTTTCGATTTCAATTTTCAATTGACTTAGTTTAATTTATATTAATTAAATAGTAATACTAATTATTAATGACAATGTAATTACAACAACAACAAGTAAGAAAATTAAATTCGGTCGTAATCGAATTTTTTTTTATGCCAATCACCGTTTATCCCAAAAAAAAAAAGGCAAAAGTGAAGGAACAAAAATTTTCATACTCTACAGTGGTAGAGTGGGCGGAATTGATTTCTTCTATTTGCAAAATAAAACCTTTTATCATATGGGCGCATGCGGGCGTTGCAACAGGGCATGTTCTTTGAAAAGTTTAATTGAATTTCAATTCCTTTTGCAAATTTGTAGGCGATATGTTAATTTTCGCTATAACGGGAGAATGTTTACAAATGTGCACAAATGCTTTCATTTTTCAATTATACGCTTTTCTAGTTGTCATCACTGAAGAATTGTCATTTTATCGGAATGTTTGCAAAAATTACGAAGAAACCTTTAGATCAGTTTGAAATTCTGAATTGAATAAGCCATCCGTCTGTTCGTCTGTGTGATGTGTGTTGCTGATATTCTTGTGATCGCAAAAATGAAGATATCGACTTTAAATGTGATAGAAAACATTGGAAATTTTTGTAAGCAGGTTGATATTGAAGATGAGCAACATTGGTCAAAGTACAAGCCTACAATAAATCGTAAACCGGAAGCGACTCAATTTTTCTAAAGAAAAAATTTTTGAAATTTTCGCTCGTTACTCACAAATTATAAACGATAAAAACGTGAAATTTGCTACATTGACTTTGGCAAACAACTCCTATCATTATTTATGTGTAAAAATGGAGAAAGTCGGTCATGCCCACACAAAGTTACAAATAATTACATTTTCAATTTTTCTAGATTTTATGCGTATTTATCACATACGGTATATACACAAGAGAAAATTTCTTAAAATTCCTCAAATAAATGATACATTATTTGCCTAAAGATGCGCGTTAATTTGAAAACAAAAATATGGTGGACACACGACGGATTTGATTGATTAATTTTTTCTTAAAACTACCAACGATATGGGTATCAAGTAAATGGGCTTCGAGAATATATGGCGGCAAAAGTCAAGTGTATTCATTCTAAATAAATTGTGGTGGATGAATTTCTTTTTAAAAATACCACTCATATGCATATCAAATAAAAAGGCTTGGAGGAGG